CTCTCTGATTATTATCCACTTCTTAACATTTTGTTACACCTAGGCTATGTGTCATTCTGACTGTCTGACTTCCAGCACCAAAGCCGGCACATAAGTGTACCTGTGTAAGTCACCACATTCCATATGGCACACAAAGGTAGGGAGAATAGAAATACCATGGAACGCTAACGAGCATAAATGTTTGGAAGAACGGGTGGTGACAAGGATGAAACATATGGGTTGATTAGAAATGCGAGATTCCACAGAATGAATACATTTGTGTCACTGATAACGATTTAGAGTCAAATCTCTACCTAACACTATAGGCTTAACCGCATTATTACTCACCATGTCATACTGCCCTAACAGGGGATAAGGCAAAGACACCTACGACCACAAGTCAGTAGTATTTTCATGTCTGTCACATTCAGTGGTTGCTTCTCACAACCTACGTGGACAATATCATCAGAATACTCCAATTTGACGAGACTGTTCCATGGTAGGTTCCTGAAGTCAATGACAGACAATTCCATTTGTACATGTATGATGAAATTGAACTAAAACAAGGATGATAGATGTAAAACTGAGCCTTCTTCGAAGTATGAGTCCCCTCACAGTTAAGTTTTAGTCGTTATTCCAACCAAGATCAGTTTCTTTCGCGCATTAGCCTAATTCATGTCTATGAATTAAGAATGTCGCAGCAATTAAATCTTCCCTCAAAATAAGGGCCACTTTAGACACAGTTTCACAACAATGCCACATATTATATCCATAGTGCTAGTGCTTTTTGTCTTCGTATGATAAGCAAACTGTGATAAGTAAATGAAAACTGATATTAATCGGTTGTGCTATGAGCGACAACAACTACCAAACCAATATACAAATTAAAGGCTCGAGATATTTCTGATTTTTATGAGGGCTTAGATCTTTATCTTGAAAAAGATAATAATGAACGCCTTGACAGATAATGCTTCTACCTCTAAATATATACTATTCGCCCAGCCTATTGTTGAGATGCGACCATGTGGGATGTGCACAGATTTATGGGGCATCTTATAAACTAACTTGCTGTCCATTGACTGATCTTTAAATACCACTTCACAATGTCTTATCTCATTCATTTTCCAATAACGTCTTTACTTGATCCTCATTATATTCCATTAAACCTAACATTTTACAGCTCTTTATGACTTATTATATTCCTACTCTCTGAAGGGTACGGTTGTACATTAAATGCACAAAAAGGTATAAAACAAAAACAACTGAGGATAAATGTATTAAAACCAAAAGTGGACATCATGATAGTTCAAACTGCACAGGAAGCATTATACACTGCAAATGAACGTTGTCAGCCTAAGTAGTTTCTTTCATTAATGCATTTATTAGTGATACTTGCACTTACCCATTTTATTACACTTTATTGATTCACCTTAGCACTTTTACTTTTCTAAAACAGCTTTCAACCCCTTGTAAACGTTGTACTTACCTCAATATTGGTTGGTTATCGTATGTCGACAACCACGGGATGAAAACGAAACGAAGTCGATTTTCCCGCTCAACCTGGAGGACAATTGTACAATTCGATAACTATACAGCCTAGTTCAGACAATGAGTGTATTTATATATATATATCAAATATTTAACTGTTGAAACACTATTAACTTGTAGACAATCTACGATTTGATATTATATCATACTTGATCGTGCCTGTAAAAATGGCATGCATTTTCATGTGAATTTATATGTTTATATGAGAATATACATTATTATTATAATTAAGATAATAGCGTTTCATTAAATAGGCCTAATTTATCAGTACGATCTCACGAAAACTCAAAACTGAACGTTTAAATTCTGAACTTCATAACTTATTTAATCCATCACATTGCGCATATATCAGTATCAAGTGGCATTTCCTGATACAAGTGCAGCAAATATAACGCATTCCAAGTACACTATGCCGCCGTTATTATGTACGTGAGAAAAGCATTTTAATGAAAAATTTCACTTAAAAAGTATGTAAAAAAGATTTCCTGTAAATGAACCAACATAGAAACGGACACCGACGCTTCAATTAGGGGGGATGTGCAATAAAACTACTTGCAAACTTTATCCTCGCTCAAATCTGAAGAGTTCTGCAATTTTTTCCAGCCGGTAGTTGGCAGAACTGTCGTGGTGCAGATTCACGTCAAGACGCATGCATACAGAGTTACGTGTACCAGAAGTGTCGGATGTTGTTAACTGTAAGGTATAATCCACGTAACATACTTCGCGTGCAGAATATTTATTCGTAAAGGCACAAAGGGCTTAATTCAAAGGTTTGTGTGCAGTAAAACATTAGGCTAACAACATTCGATGAAGTGATAAAGGCGTTTGATATATGGCTGGCAAGTAGTTCCCAATTGACAGTGCTGCATGGCGTTTCATATTCAGACATCTGCCTATATGTCGTTTATCCACCGATGTACGACAGCTCTGATAGCTGTGTTAGATACCTCAGCAAAAATTATGAAGGGAGACTCAATTTTTAGACACAATAGCATAATGGCATCTACGTAAGCCTATTCAGTTTTCCTGAATGTTTCCATGGTTCCTGCAGTAAGCGTGTGACTTCTACGCTCACCTTTTAGAAAACCAGTTAGTGTTCTTAAAATATATGCTCGTTGAGAAAAGGATGGTAGCAACCCACCACATCCGGAAACAAGTGAGAAAATTACGTGGAGGCTAGAACTGAGAAGTTCTGAGTCTCATCCACTCCTTCAGGTAAAGGGGAGTTACTGAGATTATCCTAGGATAGCTGGGTAGCGGATGGCAACCCGACATCTAGCTAGATCGACTTTTACTGAGTTAAGTGTGCTGAGGATTAGCGGAAAGCTTGTTATAAACGGTCCCACTAACTTCCTTCACCTGAACCAGCAACTAGAATGTCTTCCAGATACGCATAAGCAAATTATAGTCTACCCCAGACATCACGAGTGAAACTCTGATGTATGTTATGTTGCGTAGACCAAAATACATGTGAAGAAAGTCAGGAATACTCGAAGGTCCTCTGGCTGCTGTTTTCAGGACACTTTTAGGTACTACAGGAGTCAGATGGTGAGTGCGTGTCACATCCAGCCGGCTGAACGTGGGCGTCTTCCCAAGGTGACGTCAAGTGTGGGATTGAGTAACATTCTGCAACCTTCTGGACATTGTTCACAACAGGGCTTCCAACCCAAGTCATTTTTCATAGCTTACTAGTGTGTAGATAGATAAGGACTGTCGGATGGCCTAATCATCCTCATCTCGAACATTTTTTCAGACCCAGTCCTTATAGTCCGAAGTTTCCATGGAGACCACCGTTGTGGTTGAGCGAAGACACGGTGGGCAAGTAGTCGAGATATATGAGTGGGACTGGAAGTCACATAAAGGACACAATGATTAGGTCTGGAAAATATCACCAAGGGTTTGGACTATAATAGAGTGCGAAAACGATGTGCTGGGGGTGGGATGGGCTTGGCGGATAGGGAGATAACTGGAAAGGGCTCACTGTTTATAAAAATCTTCCATCACTAGTGCCCGATGGCGTTCAGTTTTTTCGAACTTTTTGTCTTCTTTCCTCTCACATGATTTCTCAAATTCTAGTAAAACCATTAGCTAGATGTCCCATGCCTGTTACTTCTCAGTGAGACTGTTCGAAAATGAATAAACCTTCTTCTAGAAATTAGCCAGTCGTCCCAGTCAATCAGTCTTAAGCCAAATCCCCTCAGATGCCATATTGTTAGTTTTACTTTCAGATACTTATGTGACCTACGTAAAGTGGCTCTTTCCGATGATTCTTCTACCATGAATGCTACTGACATTAATAGTAAATTTAACGTTAGATACCCTAGATTATCCCTTCCCTGGTCGTCCCGCGTACTGTTAAATTCCGCATAAGGAAGTTAAGACAAATTAATAGCGCTCAATCGCTAATCTGACAGATTTTCACCCCCAACATCCTGCCTGTTCTTCTGCTTTCGTCTTTATAATTTTTTCACAGGGTACTTAGAAAACTTGGTTACACTTTGGAGGGCACTAAAAAATACAGTTAGGACGAGTGAATTATCGCTAAAGCAGCTACTACCAGATATACAGTTGGACTCATATATAAATTAGTGAATATCGACTTGTAAAACTCTGGGCATCCTCATTGTGCACAACTCTACCTTCGATCTCTTTAGGTACGAATAGAAGAGGTGTCTAAAGATTTCCTGGCCGGACGACACTTTATTTGGCAAGCATTCTATGTGACGAGGAATGCGTAAGGTATAGAATCACCAAATTTCTGGAAACAGTAACTGACCCACTTCTTTATTCTTTCTGCTATTAATGTATTGCTGTCAATATTCCTACCTAATTTTAGTCATATATTCCTATTTTCATGGACACTACCATTAAACTAAAACGACCTCTTCACAATTTTCCCACCAATACTATGTGATATCCAGAAATAATTAGGAGCAGTATTGTATTAAGTACTGGGAAGTGATCACCTACCGCTATCTGAAAAATGCGAAGCATTCAAGGATGAACAAAAGCCAACAAAAACAAATGACGAAGATTTTTCTCAAGTGAATTAACAGAAATCACTATTTTCTATTTCTTCCATTATGATGTGTCATTCTATGAATCACGAATAAGTGGACGTTTTATCGAATTACCTTACTTCCAAATCCCAATAATGAATTTTGGCATATGGAACAAATACAGTTGAACTATCTCTTACTCACCAAATTAAAGAATAGCGATCCTAGTGAAATGAACTTGCAGCGAACTTTAAATGAGCGATTACCTTAGTTGTACCAGTTTGGGTGAAGTAGGAAGAAGTCATAGGCATCCATTATACAGTGATACCTGCGTTTTATGCTCGCTGGTGTAATTATTCTCAGCAAACAGTTGTTTTTATACCCTCACGGTAATTGTAACTCTTAGACCTCACTTTTCTGCAGAAAGTATCCCTAAACCATGGGTATAGTTATCAATGTTGTTTTAATGTGTTAGTTCTTGGCCTTGTGATCAGATGCCGTTGGTTCTGGATTTGTGAAGATCGCATGTTTTCGGTAAGTTTTGTCTTTTCCTGTCTAGTTATTGACATATGTACTTATTTTTTGACTTGGATAAACAGAGGCCTGTTGTCCATTACCTTGTCGGCCTTTCTACATCTGTCGTGAAAACTGTTGTTAGATGATTCGATAGGGGAGTTTTGTAACGCCATTATGGATAAGATTTTATGTTGATAAATCACACAGTGTTGTACAGTAATATTAAGTGATAAGTTGATATTAATGTACAACACTGTGTGATTTGTCAAAATAAAATCTTATCCATGAGGCAATTTTTGTAGTTAGTTTGTTTAAAACAGTTCCTCGTTGGAGAACTCCTAGGCTCAGTCATGGCTGCGATAAAATGATAGTAACCCTTTTACTTACGTTTAAATATGCGACATTTTCCTTGCAAAGGTATCGTGTTTAGCAAGCAAACCTATCGTATGTAAAACTTATCGGCTTTTCAAATAAACCTAAGTGTAACAATGGTGAGGCGCTTGCGAAATATTCCAGCCTGCAGTGTACTTGAATTAATATAGTCTGCATATTAGGTTGTTCGACGATTTCATTTGAACATCACTCATATGTTTGACAACAGAAACTTGTATGATTGCTCATGAACAAAGTAAAAATGACTAAAATACTCCACCAATTTCCAAGTATAGTGCCTTAATGTACATATTTTTGTTACGAGGAGCATACCAGTTTGTCAAGTTAGCTGCTCTCTGCAACTATTTTTAAACATCGAAGATAATGTGAAATTTATTGGAAACTAATTTAGTTTGTGTGTGTGACATGTAGTATCTCATGTATAAATATGCTCACTGTACTCGCATGCCCGTACCTACCATTAGAATTGTAGATCGATTGATTTATGATGTTAATTCGCCTCACTTTTTCCAGCCTCTTTAGTCCTCATTTAGCTCATCTTTTATGGACGTTTCTGTGCCAGCTGCCTAAATCGAAGAATATCTGCATCTCGACTGATACTCATAAATGTCATTGTGATATGTATATCTGTTCGTCACATCTCATAGCTGCACGGCATATAACAGTATCTCACAGTATACTAATTTAGTAGTATCTAGGTATCATGTTGACATAACGAACAAGTTGCTAAATGCTTAGCCACCCTTCTATTATCATGTTGTCAATTCTTCAATAACCAGTGCATTATGACAGATGGTATTCTATAAACCATTAGAATGGATCATACATTCAACCATTGCAATCTTTTTTTGTTGATAATCTCAAAACAAAAATGCATTCACTTTGAATTCTTATGGCCATTGACAGCCTGTTTGCGAGTCTATTTTTATCCTCAATTAAGACCTTCACTTGTTGACTGGTTTCAACATAGAACTTTTCAAAGATAAATAGGGGTTCGAGTAACTACTATCCCAGTAGTGCACAAAGCAACAGAAGAGAGTAAGGACAGATTCAAAAGACAGATAATAAACATATGAGGCAAAAGAATAGTAATATGGAAGAAAAAATACTTATTGGGTATTATATATCACGAAGAGTGAATCCATCTGCGCCATTGAGGACGAATTTGAGCCGCATCACCAGTTGTCTCCAGCCATTGGATTTTGTCATCCTCAGGACCAAAACCTAACTGTGAAGTTTACACCTCCCAGTGTGGCAGGCCCAAACTAACTGTTATGGATTAAATTGACTGATGAAGCCATGTTTTGGTTTGACCACCACTAGATCTTTTCCAACCTGATCCTATGTCAGCTGACATTGCCCATTATCGAGGAAGGCAATGGCTAGAGATGCATAATACATGTCTTAACCATCTCAATCGGTTGGCCTTCACAACTTCATCGACTGACTTGCTATCCTTACCTAAAACTCCATGCTTAACCTCAATATTACTCAACATATGACACTACTTGACATGAGATAGAATGCAGACACCCATGATCAAAGACAGCTAGTCGGCCTCTTCCTGTCTTCTGCCTTCGACGGCCATGTCTCACAGCCTTAAAGGAAAACAAAGCGAACTCCTGAGCAGTACACAGCCGGATATCGCTTAATCGACAGAGATGGTGTGGATTGGAAAGTGTCAAACTAGCCTTCTGTATCTGTAGGGAGTTTTAGTCAGAAACCAGTCTATTAGGGGTGATGCCACTTCCCAATCGTGAGGTGAAGTGGTCAATACGCCCAGCAACTTCACTCTTTATCTTTAAACAAGGAGTCAGTGCAATACAGTCCTGCAGAATCATTTTACATTTGACAGGAGAGAATACCAAGAAAGAAAATACAGGACAGAATCGCATGTTAAATATTCGAAATCTTTTGTTCAAGGTGTTCAGAAATCACCAAAATTTGTTAAAATATCATCCAAATACTCCAAGTCGACGGGTCTGTCCCCTGGTAACAAGTTACTAAAGTTAATCATGGTTATACTCATTCATGCATCTGTGATGTAAATAAATTGAATCGGGACAATGGTGATCCTTGATGTATACCATTGGTTGTCATCGCCTAAGATGACGATCCTTCACAAGGTTTTACGACTTTGTGAGTCTTATTAGAGTGTCTTGATTTTTGAGGTACACTTTCTCGGGAATCCTTACAGAGTCAAATAATGTGATAGCACCTTTCGGATGACGGGGTTGAATTCTGCGTCCACGTCAAGAAATAGAGCAGTTGTTGGACGTCGGTAAGTATACCTATTTTCCAGAATCTATCGAAGGGTGAATGTATGTTCAATATAATGTTTTTATGGCCTAAAATCTGACTGGTTTTACAATCTGTTTCCCTAATAAATCTATATGGTGTTTTGATTTCGCCTACTGGTTGTGAAGGTCAACCGACTGAGATGGTTAGGACATGTATTACGCATCCCTAGCCATTGCCTTCCTCGATAATGGGCAATGTCAGCTGACATAGGATCAGGTTGGAAAAGATCTAGTGGTGGTCAAACCAAAACATGGCTTCATCAGTCAATTTAATCCATAACAGTTAGTTTGGGCCTGCCACACTGGGAGGTGTAAACTTCCTGATTGGCTTCGTGAGAATATTGAGTGTCGTTGGCTGGCGGTTTGTGATCTTTAAAATCCACTTAATGGTTATGTTCTTCCATGTCACCACTCTTTCTCCCCCACAATTCTACTGATTATGGTTGTTCTGTATATGTTTTTTCTCTCTTGTCTTTAGCTTTTTAATTAAAACAATAACTGTGTTGCAAACTGTATTAATTATTCTATACGGAGTTTTCAGTCTTGCACATATAGCAACAATTTATCTCCTATTACAAATAAACATATAAGATACTAAAAATAAGAAAACCTCAAGAACTGAAAGTTATTAGAAGAATAATGTGCATTAATAATGCCGCTTATAATCAGTCATTCGTTCACAGATTGAAAAGTAAGTTTACAAGCTCTTTCATGACATGACTTCACACAGAACCCGTGCTAAACATGTTACAGTTGAATTTTTATATTTTGCCTCACGAGCATAAGTCCTTAGGGAATTTCTCCTGGTGTTATTCGATGAGATACGAGAAGAAAGTTCCGAACATAGAAAGTGTTTAATATCGGACAAGATGACTTTAGCCAGTTGCTTGCAAACATTAAAATCAATAACAAATCAACATAAAACTTTGCACCGGTGTGCAGCATTAAAATACCATGTGCTACATCAACTACTGCACGAAGTCCTATGTTATAACTTAGTTAGTCCACTTATTTTAAGTCCTGTATATTTTCTTTAAATAACATAAAAAAACACAACTAAATTGTCCTTTAACTATTGTAAAGTGAGTGCAAAGTTCATTTATGTACTTAAATTTTGATCCATCTTCCTTGGATTTTGACTAAACATCAGTTGTCTCTATTTTTTTATCGTCAATAGTCCATTTTGCTGACTTCTTTAACCCAAAAAAATGTTAAGACTTTCCGAACTTTTAAAAAGATTTTTGCGTTCAACGTCCTTGTATGTAAGAAACTCATCAGTCTTAACTTTTTCAGGTATCATGGAACAATGTGTCACTGATATTCTTTGCAGTGATGACTGTGTTATAATGGTATGGTCAGGGGAAGTTCAAGAAAACACTATGCGCAGTTTGCAGACACATATCTCTCCACTCGTTCAAAAACTACAATTTGAAAATTTAGAAAACTTCACTAGCAGTTCAACTGTCGGTAATCATCTTCGTGAATATGCTTCTGTCGTATTGTGTGGATGGCCCAATCCATTAAATGTAAATGCACTTCCATTTGAATTATTATCGAACCTCTCATTCTGTTTGAAACCTGGTGGTCGTCTTGTTGGTCGGGTACTGACTACGAACGTGTGGGATTCTTTGAGAAAAAACTTGACTCTCTCCGGATATATGGGTCCCCAACAGGTAAGTGTTTTGAATACTTTCGCACCGTAGTGTGTCATAACACAATCACATAGTGTTGTTCGGAATTCTTTTGTTTTCACCTCTTTTTGTACGTTCACTTACTGTGTTTACAACTGCTTTTAGTTGCTATATTAATCCGAATCGACTAAATACGACTGTGTGTGTTAAGATGCTCTACATGCTGAGGTCGCAGCACCCGATGCTGCGTACATAACCAGGGGACATTAAGTGCTTCCACATAATCAGGTTTGGCATACAACCGACAATTACGAAAATAAGTCCAATGTCATCACGAAGATTTTCCTGCTTCTGTATAAACTACGGTGACCACCGTTCTACATCAGAGAGAATAAAACTACATTTGTCTCACACTTCAGCTTATTCCTTCATCAGTCACTATAAATAACATTGAAATTAATACTAGACTATTATGCTGTAGTGCAATGAACTGTTTATTCAATTCCTCGTTATGTACACCAATATTTTCATGCCTCAGTTCAATCCACGAGGCCTTTCCCTCTGCGACTTTACTGCATCCAATATGCTGTATATCCATATGCCCTGAGAAATAATTGATGTCCTTCTCACCAAGTTGCATTTAGCATAGGTTTGTTACAACTCGTTTACCTTACTTGTTTCAATAGTTTTCTGGTATTAGCCGTAGCTAGTACCTTTTCCATCTATTAGGCTTTTGTTGTTGCATCGATTTTTGGTTAACTTGCACCTGAGCAGTTTTCACTCCTTTTCGTGTTTGAATCCCATCTGAATGACTCTTCCAGAAATCAACTCCTATTTTCTAACTTTTGGTTAAATGTTACCAGCAACCTTTACAACTGTTCCTAAAATACACTGGATATGGTGCTGGTTCCCCCAGGGATTATGTTTTCTGTCACTTTCAGTTACTCATTATGTCCACCGAGAATTTGGAAGATGTGGGTAGTCGTCTGTTAGTTCCCAGTCGTAATTATATATGTGCAGTGACTAGTGTTATTACCCCAGACCATGCAGCCGTTCCAAAAAGAGCGGCAGTCCTCTATTTATTCTCTCTGCCGATAACTTATAGCCATATGATCTTTTTATGCCCATGGTTGACTCAATGTGTGTAGTCGCCAAATAAGGTGGTTTTTCTTTTTGAATTGAGTACTGATCGAATGCAGATAATTATATAGACAGTATTGGACAAAAGTATCATGGCCAGTTCTTCGACACGGGACTGTCTATATGGTACCAACATATTTTCCTGACAGATACAGCTTACCCACTCGAGTATTGAGTTCACCTGTTGAATTGAATGTGTCTGAGCGTTTCACATTCGGAAGCAAACTAGATAGGTTTTAATAAATGTCGTCCGAACTGCAGTTGGTCGGCGGAGATTAGGGAAAGACAGCGAAGGGTCTTTCAATTCCTCCCTCTTCTAACAGATTCGTCCAACTGAACAGCACACAACTGTCCACCATCTTTTGAAAATTCTTCTCCTACTGCAAGATAAACAGTACTTCATCTGCAATCCATGAGATTATCACAAGTATCTTTGCTATAGGAGGTTAGTACCACAACATTATTTCTCAGATTCGCCACGTGTTTGCAGTTTATTGTCCCAAGGTACTGACAGCAGCAATCCAGGAATGTTGACCTGATCTGATTAGTTAAATGTGGATTTATTTTGTCTGATATATACTTGGTGATTTTCGGAATTCGGGACGAGGGATAGACACTGATGGATGTCTTTGAGCAGTTAATATGCTAGACTCAGCTGTTACATATGATGAGAACCAGTGTATTACGTATATCAGTCTCACTTCATATACCATCAGCTTTTATTCGCCTTCCTTTAATTTTGTTATGCGTCGGTGGTAAATCATACTTGCCCACCTTTTTTTAGCTCAGCACTTGTTTATTTAGTTTGTCGCAATTACGAAGGTCTGTTAACACTGAAGTGGTTTCTCGAATAAAAATCCGTTTCCGTATAGTTTCCTTTTAGTTAGTAAATTGAATACATTTATGTAGTAAATGCAAATATTTTATTTCAGCTACACGATGAAAAATACCTAATATTCAGTGCCTCAGTCCCATCACACTATACTCAGGGTTCAAGTGTTAAGCTTCCATGGGCTAATAGTGACGTCGAATCGGCTTGGGAAGACGTTGACAAAGAAGATTCTAATGATATCAGTGAGAATGTCATAGACACAAATGCACTACTGCAGAAAGCAGACTTTGAGGCGCCGGCTGTCTGTGGTAAAGAAGCAGTTACTGACTCAGCGGGTAAAAAGAAACGAGCGTGTAAAAACTGTACATGTGGTTTGGCTGAAATTGAAGCACAAGACGAAGAAAGAGAAGCCCATATCCCTAAATCCTCCTGTGGAAATGTAAGTCAAGAAGTAATTTTTCCAATTATTTACGCGTAATTTCTAAAAATATACAATTTACGTCGACATGTCTGTCTGGATTCAACATAGAACTTGGCACCGAAGTGCAGCAGTTCGAGTTGCCACCTTCCAAATAGCACACAGAGGTAGACAAGAAGATGAGTGAAGAGAATCAATACAGTCTGACAAGTATGAGAGTGAAACAGAATAAGTAATGGTAGAAAGGAATATGAAAGATTACAGAGACTGAATACATCTGCGCCATTGACAACGACTTTGAGCCATGTCACCTATTGTCTCCAGCCATTGGTTCCTAGAGTCCCGAGGGCCCCAACCCGGAAGTCTGCATCTCCCTACCTTACTCAGTTTAACTGTCAAGGATTTCATGGATTGATGTCATGTTTTTGTTTGGCCACCACTGGCTCTTTTCCAACCTTCACCTATATCAGCTAGCAATGCCCGTCGGGGGAGGCCGTGGTTAGGCATGCGCAGCACGTGACCTAGCCATCTCAATCTATGTACCTTTATAGCCTCGTCGATTGATTTTCCCTCTTTGCCCAACACTCTACGCCTAACGTCAACATTACTTACCTTGTGAAACCACCTAACGTGAGACAGGGATCGCAGACATCTATGATCGAAAGCGGTCAACCTTTTCATGTCTTCAACGCGTATTGGCCATGTTTCAGAGCCATAGAGAAGGACGGAGCGAACTGCTGAACAGTACACACGTCCCTTGGTTGATAACCGGATGTCACGCCTACGCCAGAGGTGGTGTAGGCCAGCGAAAGCAGCTCGAGCTTTTTGGATCCTTGCTGAGATTTCGTCGCCAATCAATCCGTTGGTGCTAATACAACTTCCCAAATAGGTGAAGTGGTCAACATGTTCTATCACTTCACTCCCTATCACTAAGCTAGGAGTTGACGTAGTCCAGTCCTGTAGCAGCATCTTACATTTTGCAGGGGCGAATCGCATGCCAAACATACGAAGATTGCTGCTCGAGGTGTTCAGAAGACTCTGCATTTTGTCAGCATCCTCCCCTAACAGGACTATGTCATCTGCATATTCTAAGTCCATAAGACTATTCCCTGGTAACAAGTCGATTCCTAAGTCGTTACGTTCAGTTAAGGATACTTCCATCAGCATATCTATGATGAAGTTAAACAGAAATGGGGATAGTTGACATCCCTGTCGGACACCACTGGTTGTTATCAATTCAGATGACAATTCCCCATAAGCCCTTACACGGCTACATGAGTTTGAATAGAGTGACTTGATTAGTGCAATGTACTTTCTTGGCACTCCCTTCACAGTCAGACATTGCCATAGTACCTTTCGATCCACGGAGTCAAAGGCCGCCTTCAAGTCAAGAAATATGGCAATTGTTGGACGCCGAAAAGTGTGTCTGTGTTCTAGAATCTGTCGGAGAGTGAAGATATGATCTATGCACCCTCTACCTGGTCTAAAGCCTGCTTGATTTTCCCTCGTCTGTTCCTCCCGAGTTCTGCTTAGTCTGTGCATGATTACTGAGCCTAGGATTTTAGAGACTATGTTCGTTAGGCTGATCCCCCTATGATTATCACACGAGGACTTGTTTCCCTTCTTGAATATCGGTATAATAAGTGACTTACCCCAGTCTGATGGAACTGTCTCTGATTCCCAGACTTTGCCTAGTACCTTAGTTAATCTACAAACTAGTATGTCACCCCCATATTTAAACACCTCCGGAATAATTCCGTCGGGTCCTGCCGCTTTGCCTCGTTTCAAATTACTGATAGCTTTTGTGACCTCACTTACAGACGGCGGACCAGTGTCTATATCCCATTCGGGTGTGTGCTGGATGTTGGGGAGGTTCAGTGTGGCTGTAGGCAAGTTAAATTGTCCCTCAAAGTGTTCTTTCCAGCGTTGAAGGCGTCTATCCTGAGAGATAATTAAGGGGCCATTTTTCTCAGAAATAGTCTCACTTATGATTTGCCTTCTCCCTCCCGTTTCCCTGATGAGTCTAAAGAGTTGCCTGATGTTCCCTACCGCCGATGCTTTTTCCATCTCTTTTGCCTTTGTCAGCCACCACTGTTGACGGTCCTTGCGGAGACCCCCGGCCGATAACTGCTACCTTGTCGTGGTGGTCGGGCTTGAATACCGCAATGACCCAACAAGCTGAACTGACTGGGACCCTGTCTCCACAGGTCCTACCATGTCAGGAAGGTTTTCTGGATAGCGGTTAAACTAAAAGCAGTTACCATGGGGTACATGGGCTCCAGTTTCCAATCGGATCAAATGGCGTATGAACCCACATGGGTCACCGGCAACCATGGGAATGCAGCTCCTGACGCTGCTCCGCTACCTTGCAGATTAGACTCCAAGTCAAAGGCTCGGGGGTGGTCCCTTAATAAAGCCACCTGCTTCGGTCTGGGCGCCCGGGCAGTATCTCAGCCCGCACACAATGAATGAATTAAAGCAACGAACTCCCATTGAAACTCAACGCGCTAGTTAAAATGATTCCAAGCAATATTGATCCCTCAGGGAACTTATTTCCTTCTTACCCTACTTTTATTTTTATACATAGTTTCCTGTGTTGTACCTTTTCTAACCTTGGCTTCTTAACCTTCGACAGCCTTTCGCCTTTGTCGAGATTCTCAGCCTATCCGTGTCGTTTCGAGATGTTAGTGAGTAGTCCTCAAAATGGTTGTTCCCAATGTGACATCTAACACGGATATCCTGAAACCGCGTGCTGCGTTCAAGCTGGTTACCTACAATGTTCGGACGCTGATGCAAATCGGACAACAGGCAGGGTTGGCAAGAACTTTGGAAAGCCTCGCTATCGATGTCTGCTGCATTTCGGAGACCCGCATTCAAGATCCCAGTGAAGTGCTTCGACTATCCTCTCCATCTGGAAGTTCTAGTAGTATGTACCACCTGCGCTTATCCGGGGACCCTGTGGCGTCGGCATCCGGCGTAGCTGGTGTCGGTGTCGCACTGAGCGCTAGAGCCGAAGCTGCACTGCTCGACTGGATTCCCATTAACAGTCGTTTATGTGCTGTGAGGCTGGAAGGTTACACGAAAGTAAAGAGTAGTAGGCCAGATAGGCGGTGTCTATTTGTTGTCTCTGCCTATGCACCGACGGATTGCAGCCCGGATGCAATGAAGGATGAGTTTTACTACCAACTGAGCGATCTCTTGAAACAGGCGGGTCGGAGGGATATCGTAGTGCTGGCTGGGGACTTGAATGCACAGGTGGGGCGTCTAAGCTCAGAGGAGAATCGTCTAGGTGGTCAGTGGGGACTACATGGTCGCAGGTCAGATAATGGGGACCGTCTTCTGCAGCTTTGCGCGGATCACAACCTATTTCTAGCTAGCACCAACTTCCGGCACAGCCATCGCCGTAGCTCTACCTGGCGTCCTCCCTCTGCGAAGCAAGCTTGGACTCAGATTGATCATATCGCGGTCAGTTTCCGGTGGCGAGGATGCATACAAGACTGTCGCTCCTTCTGGAGCACATGCCTGGACTCCGATCATGCGTTAGTGTGTGCCAAGTTCGTCTTGCGATTTGGTGGGGTTCGTAAAAGCCGTCGTATAAGCGTTGATGTGAGCAAACTAGTAGCACCTGCTACTTCTTTGAAATATCAGAATGAGTTAAAAACAATGCTTGCCAGCAACCCCCCAAGTAGTATAGATGAACATTGGCTTCATGTGCAAGGTGCCATGCAAAAGGCGAGTGTAGCCGCTTGCGGCTTGAAAGAATGCTCCGCTAAAAACCACTGGGTTTCTGCGAGTTCCTTGCAACTCATGGATGAACGCCGGTCCATTCCGGCTGGCAGCGAATACAACAATCAGCGAAAGGCGCTCACGCGCAAGATTAGACAGTGTTTACGTAAGGACCGCGAAGCCTGGTGGTCAGAACGTGCGTGTGAGATGGAGTCAGCTGCTGCATCTGGCAACAGTCGGAAGCTGTTCCAACTCATACGAGCCACCGGCAGCAAGAAACAAGGTGTCAGCGAGACGGTCTGTGAGGCAGATGGCACTCCAATTACCAGCCTGAAAAGACGCCTGGAACGCTGGGCAGAGCACTTCGGGAAGCAGTTCAGCTGGCCACCAGCTTCAGTGTCTACTATCATTAGCCCGAGTGCTCCTTGGTCGGTTAGTACCGACCCACCCACCGAAGCGGAGGTCCGTAAGGAACTCCAAGTTCTGAAACGCCATAAGGCGCCCGGCCCAGACAAATTACCCCCGGCTCTTTTTAAAGATGGTGGCGAGACTCTCACAATGGCTCTAACTGGGTTGTTCAGGAAGGTGTGGGAGACAGAGAGTGTACCATCAATGTGGAACGAAGCCATTATCGTCCCCATCTTTAAAAAGGGTCGACGTAATTCGTGTGACAATCATAGGGGTATCAGTCTGTTACCAGTCGCGTCTAAAATGCTGGCTGCTGTCTTGCTTCGCAGACTGTGCAAAATACGTGAAGGATTGATTCGCGAAGAGCAGGCTGGGTTTCGTTCAGGTCGTGGATGCATTGATCAGGTGTTCACCCTTCGTCAGTTGTTGGAACACCGCCACACGTATTGCAGGCCAACGATCGTTGTGTTTCTTGATATTAGGGCTGCCTTCGATTCGTTGGACAGAACTGTGCTCTGGAACTGTCTGTTAGAGAGAGGTGTACCTGAGAAATTTGTTAACATCCTGAAAGCCCTATACAGAAACACCTCAGGTAGAGTGAGGGCATACAACCAACTATCACCACTGTTCCCAACCAACAGTGGGGTTAGACAGGGTTGCCCAATCTCTCCGTTTCTCTTTAACTTTGCCATCGATGACATTCTGGAGTCAGCTCTGAAGGATGTGCGTGAAGGTGGTGTAGATCTGCTACCTGGAGATAGACTTTTCGACCTCGAGTATGCAGACGATATCGTCTTACTGTGCGATAGCATGCAGGCTGCCCAAATCGCACTTAATCAGTTGGCGATCAGTGTCTGTAAGTATGGTATGTGCTTTGCGCCGTCTAA